TGCGTCCATCTCCAACTCACGAACTGTCCTCCAAAGTTAAACCAAGGTTTCCGTACCAAGACGTGGTCAGCGCACGAAGAGAGCTTGTCAGGAATATTGAGGCACGATGGGCTGGAGAGAGGTTCGGTTCAACGTCCATTTGTTTCACGTGTGGGTCTTGAGCAGCATCTGCAATGGACGATGTCACGAAACATCCTTGAAACAATCTCATGCTCATGTTGCACCACTTGATGCCCACATCTCGCTCGTATACATCGATGCTTTTGAATGAGATGCTTCCAGCCTTTTTTCCAGTTTGTACATGTTTATTGATCTTTCCTGAACTCATGGAGTACTCAACCACTGGAGTGGGCAAGCGTTCTCCGCACAGGTAAAGGTGAAATATGAAAAGGGAAGCTCAGGCAGCACTTTGATACTCATGCACGCGAGCCTGATGGAAAAATATCTAGTCTTCCGATTTCCAACCGGTTTGCAAAGCCCAGTATTTTGAATCTGACTTCTGGCGGTTGCTTTCCATTTGAGTGCACTGGAGCAGGAAAACTTGGCGTTGACTTGGATGCCATAGACATCCACAGGGGCCTAGTAGTAACTTGGCGGGTTTGATGCACATTTTGTGTTTTTTTGGGGTTGGCACAACAAGCGCAAACCCTCGCCAACTTTGCAAGATATGTTTACATGAACCGTGACCAACAAACTGGCATGCTCAGGTGAAAGGTGTGTTGCCTGACGGTCTAATAGCTGAGTGGAATCGTGCCAACCCGGAGAATGCCATAAAGCCAAGTGCCACTTGGTCTACAAAAGCTTTTGCCTTGCGGAACACCCGCAAAATTGCAATTGTACTTTGACTATTGCATTTTGTGACGCAAAATGTATTTTGTGTCTCAGGACAAGATTTTTGCTGTCAACAACCAGGCGAACGATTTTGTTAAATGAAAGAAGAGGATGTTCACTCCAGCACATGTGAACCAGTTTTATTTCAATTGAGTCTTCAGCACTCCAGTCCGTTTTGCAGGTTGGTACAGTTCAAGACTTGGAGACACACATCGTGTCTTCAGGCCTGGTGGCAGGAAACTCTCCGATTCAATGTACAGTAATTGGCTAGAAAGGAGGACTTTGTTTGACATTTTGGTGGGGTTGACCATTTAGGCGAATTTGAATTTGACAATTTGCATAAAATACTGGACTTGGTTTAGGCCCCCCAGTGCAAAGCGTGACAAACATGTCTCTGAGGGGAAACAAGTGCTTCGTGCATCTTCGTGTGGACGTTTTACCAATTTTACCAAATCAGGGAATGACTCAGTGAATGGCCCACTAAGCATCCCGTGATTCCGATTGGCACCGATGTCTTCGCCGATGTCTTCGCCGAGGCCCTGACCTTCAACTCAGCGTCCGACGTCCGCAACGGATCGAGGTGACGCTGCAAAGACCGGGCAGTGGTGGAGCTCAGTCTGTGGCGAAACGGACATTAGACATTTTTGTGACTTTAGACATTTTAGACATCCTTTAGACTCTAGATCCATTTGAGGAAATGCAAACTGAATGTGTTCAACCTGTGTTTTCATTTGTATCTCACCTCTTGGAACCCATCGGTGGCCTCTCTGCCTGAGGTTTGGGCCTGAGGCTACACTTCAAGATACTCGGAAGAGCCGGATTTTGCTTTAGAATACAAGGAGTCAAGGAGTTGAGGTGGCTACACATCCCAATCTTGTGCATACATGAGAAAGCGATCACTTGAGGTGTCAAGGTAGGGCAGGGTTAACAGTTTGGGTTTGGAGTGAGAAGACATCGACAGATCAAGAAGCCTTTGCAACATTTTGCAACCTTCTCCGAGGAAATCCTCAAAAGGCGTTTTGGTCAGTGAGACCCTTTGCTGCAAATTGTCAGAAAAATTGATGATCTGAACTCAAGACATGGTTTTGTTATGTTTTGCAGAGGGTAACAGGTTGGTTATAGTATAAAGGAGAGCACCTTTCTGTATTTGCATCGCCTGACCGCCGAGGGTGTTGGCAGACGGGCTGGCAACAGACTGGAATGCCAAAAACCCCACAAGACGCATCACTGCTGGTGACCGGATACTGGAAGTGAACGGAGAAGCGCTTCCACCTGAGGACAGATGTCAGCCTAAGCTGCGCAATAGCTCAGATTTCCGCAGCTACAGCAACCTTCATTTTCGAGCAAGTCGTACTGGAAGAGACCATCATCAGGTGTTAAAGTGGCAACAGAACCTCCAACCAATCCAAGAATGCTCCCAGTAGCGATGCCAGGAGCCCCTTAGTAGCGATGCCCTTGCTCCTAGTATCGTCCTGCTACTAGGGGAAAAGATCTTCACGACAGAACGACATGCGTATCCAGCAAAGTCTGTACGGAGCAGCTTGAGTGCCATTCGAGTTTATATGTTGCGATTCTATCATGCAATCTGTATACTACTGGAGTCGAACATATAGTTGGACAGAAGTTGGGCCTTGTATGGGATTTGTGTGGGGGCAGAATCAACGTTTGCTGGGCGCGAAACGTGTTGCTGCGAAGCCCAAAGCTCCTCGGACTTCTTCAGGACTTGATTGCAAAGCCTGGGGCTGAGCAAGATTAGCGAGCTTTCCATGGCAAACCAAATGCTCCTTCTTGTTACTAGTAGCAATGCGGCAATGCCCTTGTTACTAGGAGCGATGCACCTTGTTATATACTAGTAATTAGCTTCTTGTTACTAGTAATGCCCTTGTTACTTTGGATGTGCAAAACATCACTCAATGTTGCGCTTACAGAGTGATTGCCGTGCCAACCATATCATGAAGTACAGTTTGAGACAGGCATTTGCATTGGTTGTGGACGCTTTTGGAATGATGATCGGTCTACTACACTGTGCCACAGCGTTTCCATGCATGCAGTGCCATGTTCAACAAAAGCGCCGAGTACACTTGTGGGACCAATATTTACACTGGTTGTGGACATTTAGACGAATCTAGATTTTTGCGCTAGGCTTGCAAAAGAGGATGTGATGGTCATCCACATGTTGCACTACGACCAGGATTACTTTTCCGCTTTACATGTTTCGATCCATGGCTTGCTCCTTAGGGAGTCACCTTCCAACGAGTCAACACCACAGCGGTTGCATGCCTGTTGCAATTTGTGTCCATGTAGTTGCTGCAGTCAGGACGTTCCAAAGCCAGTCTGAGGCAGGGTATTTTGCGCGACAAAGATTCTATCTCATGGTGCTTCATGCAACTTTGAGTGTTTGGTCCGCAGCAATTCCTCACACCTCACAAAAAGCTATTGCACTTTTACAAAGGGCTGTCATGCTTGGCCTCCCTTCAGGCCATCCAGTTTCACTGATGAAGCTGTACAGTACAGCAGATATCCACAAAGGATAGGATAGAACTTTGCATTGAGATCTTGCTAGTGCTTGCCGTGGAAGCTTTGAAGCGTCAAAGCGTCTCTCTTCAAGTCAAAACTGACCAGAAGTAGAGAACGGCCCTGTCAATAGGTGTTTTAAGTGAGGCAACAGGCTGGTGGCTTCGTTCCGCCATGGTTTGCTTGAAGTCTTTGCGAGTGAAGCTCTGCGCCACATAAAGTGCCAATTGAAGTCTTAAGACATCACGTGGCAGCTTGCAGACCCTGATTTGAGTGGCCGAAGTGCCACTTGGACACGAAGACCGCGTCGGGGTTGCTGGCGAAGATCCCACACAAGTCGTGAGTTGATTGAAGTCATTTATGTCTATATCAGTTGAGATTGATGCAAGATTTATGAAGTGTGTATCAAAACTGTCTCAAGCAAGGAAGAGACGAGATCAGCATGTGGATGGATACCAAGCAGAGTCGACAAGAATGATTAGGTCATGTTCATTGCAATGATGGAAATCCACATTCTTTTTCTCAGAAAGGAGTTGTATCAAGAGTTGGAGGTCGGCTATGTGGTTGGTTGGAAGCGTAGGAAGGAAGCTTCAGATTTGGCCATTGAATTGTTGTCCGTAGACTTGAAGTCAACGCATGCCATGGACTCCTGATGGCTCACGAAGTAAGCGATCGGGCCTGGACGAATGGACTGCATACCAGAGGACTCTTGGGGCTGTGAAGAGTGGTTCATGCGGTTATTATAGGTGGCAATACTTGATGCACTCAAACAACATATATCAGAAGCAGATGTTCAAGTACTTGTCTTCTTTTTTTTACATGTTGATCAACAACAGCCTTTGAATTGCACTCTGCACAAGCTTTGCTCGTGCAGGAACCCTTCCAACACTCAGAAGAGGCATCTTGGACTCCCCTTGTTTGGGTTTCTCCCGGCCCCCCCTAATATAGCCCCTGCCCAGGCTTGGCTTTTGTCCCTCAGCCCCGTAATGTTGAACTAGGTGCAAGATGAGCTAGTCGCTTCTGGGTCTCGCTTTCGCTGAGGACACCAGCGAGTTTTCATCAGCTGCATCTCTGAGCCGGCAGTGTACGGAATTCAGCGATGTTGTGGCACAGGACCGAGAGCTCGAAACCAAGAGTTTCTTTGGGACTGACCTAGTCGTTGGACACATCGCGGAACTTGGATGAAGGTGGAGAAGCAGCAAGACACAAGTAATTACTAGATATACCTAGATACAAATTTACGATCTGCTGTGACTTGTTTACAAATGTTCCAATGATTGAACTTGGTTTGCATGGCACCCTTTCTGATTTTGGGCTTTGTGTCGTAAATTATACTTGCGTAAGTACTATTGCCTGGTCTCACAAGCACGTTCCTACTGGTGATCCAGTTAGAACCACTCTCCATCACTCTCGAGTGAGTGCACCATAGTGCCATAGTGTATGATTTGTTAAAATTCCTTACAAATTTGGAAGGTTTGGTTTCATTCTGCCAAGCTTTGGCCGGACCATCATTGTATGTTGGATACTTGGTGCAATCAAGGAAGCAAGCCATTCAAGCAGAACACCCTATAAAGCACTCAGAAAACTTGTTTGTCGCCGGTGACAAACCTGCCACCGCAAAGGACTTGATGTCACGACAGCTGACTGATTTTGCAATGAGGCAGCTTTCCTATTTGCCATACTGTAGTTGGGTTGGTGCTTTCCACTGTCTTTGCCTTTTTGGTGGACCGAAGGGTCTCTTTTTTCATGAAAAAGTTGCCCATGTCCATCTTTCATTTTTTTCCTCGCTCTTGTCCTTTGGCGGACTCACCGGACAAGCCAGGCAAGGAGACTTTTGGGTTCGCAAGTGCAGCGAGCCTGTCCCCTTCACTGGGGCAAAGGGCTTGGATTCAAAGCAAGGCAAAGAGTTCGCAGCCAAACACTTCGAGATCTAGTTAATCTAGTTCGATTTTCGTTATGCTTTACACCTTTAGACTAGACCTGTTACTTTTTCTTCCTTTTCCTATGAATCTGCTATGGAGACTTTGTTGGAGAGTTGAAATCCGTCTTTCACTCGCAGGGGATTTCCGCCGGCAGAGCTCTTGTCCACCATTGCGCTCTCAGGTGGGCAGGTAGTGACAGTTGTGGAAGAGGTTGCTCCCCAGAAGGATTGCTGGGGACTTCCCATCATTTTAGGTGTAGAAATCTCGGGGTAGCTTCGGATTGCTTCCTTGTGTTTGGTGCATGCCTCCTCAGCTTTCTTTGGCGGCTGAGGGTCTTTTTTTCTCCTGAGCCCATCGAAGAAAGAGAGTCTGAGGACTGACAGCACAACAAACTATTCTCCGTCAGAGTACTGATGACAGAGACAGACAGCTCGGCACTGCTTCTCGATTTTGGTCCTGCTGAGTGTAAGGAGCAAGAGAGCCAGGGCCAGCTGGAGTCAGAGGAGGAGGATGACCTAGTCTCCAGGGCCATTTGCTCTGCCGTCGCAGACTGCGACTTTAGCGCTACTTCGGCTGAGCTTGAAATGACAAACAACTGGACCATTGGATAATCATCATCGGTTTGCAGACAATGCTGTGGACGGAACATTTTTCAGTTTGCTGCTGGCAGAACGTGCTTCGACAGTGGTTGCTGTAGGTTGCTGTAGCGGACCCGACCGCCCTAGATGCAGAGTTGATCGTGACTTGGTCGCCCATAAGCTGTCACCTGCCAATTATATTATATTATATGGGCTATGCGAGGAGCCAAACAGTCAACGGGTTGTTGCATTCTGCTGAAGTTGGCATGTTTTGAGTCCTGGTGTTTGAGGCCGTTTCAGAGGGCTTTGAGCGACTCACTGGCTACTTGCGCGAAGAGGCAGTTGGTCAAGGGCTCAGCAAAGAAGCTGGCATTCCAGGCTTTTTGTAATTGTTTTTGTGACTAGTTATATTAGTGTGGACTTTCAAACATTCTGTGACTTCAGACTCAGTTCACACAGATTCTTGCTCTTGAACCAAAGCGTTATGAAGGGAAGTAATTGTATGTATGTAAAAATATATATTATATAGCTATATTATATATGTATGATGTATACACACTATCGTAGGAGACCGTAGGCGTCTTCCAGGTTCCATTTGCGTGAGAGAAGGCAACACAGACACCAATACAGTTTCAAAGGGAGCACGAAAGAGAATATAATGCAGAGAACAGACAGGAAGAGATAATGAAAGACAAGGCAACGATGGCAAGAACATGGGTAAGGAAAGCTTTGTGCAAAAGTCTGTCCAAGGCAATCAGGGTTGTCAGATGACCCCAAGACGGGTACTCGAACAAAACAGTGTAATTCTGTGGGTGCTTTTCGGGCGACCCGTTCTTCGCGGCACTCAGGCTGCAATTGCCGCTTCCTCTCCGAGGGCTGTCCACCGCCCGACTTGATTGCGCAGCCTTTACGTGAGGCAACCGACACTGGGGCGACTCTTAGCTGAGGAGTGCGGTTTGGCTTCCAACTCTTAAGTACTTGGCTTGGTCGCAACTAGCCTGGAGAAAGAGAACGCTGGTAGATCTTGAGGCTTCTTGTTGCTATGTGAGCTATTGCTTGATTGGGCAGTTTACTCTTCGATTCAACAATTTGGCTACCCCGCGAAGCCTGGCTAGTAAACTCTGGATCCCCCATTGTAGTATTGGCGTGGCTTGGGGCGGCGGGAACAAGCCAAGGCCCTACAGTTGTATTCTGGTGAACAAGCGAAAGACAGGCGATAATATGCTCATGTTACTGTTGCTTGTGCAAACGAGACAGCTTGTTTTTGTATTTTTCGGGAAAAGTCAGCAAGTGCGAGATCTCTTTTTGAGCAGGTCATTTTTTCTTGAACCTCCTGTCTCTTCGTGGTTTGGTCGTGGCCAGACATGCCAAGACTGGGGAGGTGGGGTGTGGTTCACGGCAGTATTCGGACAGGTGACAGCTCAAATCAGCTTGTTTTGGGAGGCAAAGATGCATTGACACTTCTGTCAGCCCTGTTTCGATCCTCACCTGGGAAGCATCTAGTCAATTCTTTGCTTGATCTTGCATTGTTTTGATAAACATGTGTCTCGTTGGAAGCGCTTTAGTTGGATCTGATGATTGTACGGTGAAGTCCCGCAAAGTTAAACTGTTTTGTTGGAGTGTGCTAGGCTTAGCTTGTTCTACTTCGTGCGCACCTTGTCTGAACCGGGCAGGAGATTTGGATACTCGTGGCTGTCCAGCAGGATGTCACTGGAGTGGAACCAGATTCACTGCCTTCAAGCGACGCCTTGCTGTCCAAGGCCACTGCCGCGGGACGGGGTGATCCTCACCAGTTCGATTGGGTTTTTCCAAGGTGGCTGGCCGCATCCTGCGGAGGCTGCTGAAATATGCAACTGAAATTGGCATTGCCAGCCTCATTGAGGCAAAAAGCAGAGGCAAGTTTTGGGTGGCTTCTTCTTCTTCTTCGTCTTTTTCTCTCTTTTTTGTGTGTAGACCAACCAGATTGCAGACTTGTAGGTGCCACAGCAGCATGAGTAAAACATGATTTGCAAAGCTGCCGACACTGTGGAAGCCGCAGGCTGTGGGATGTGCCCCCCTCGTGGCCAGGTGGGGCAAACGGATACCTTTTTTCATGTCTTGCTTTCCATTGAAGGACCGGGTGTGTTCCGATGAGATGACTTCACCTTGTGCGGACCCAGGTTGGCATGCAATTGCTTTCTGATGTGATCTGGAAAAGTGGTGATCCTTTGGGGTTGCTTTGGCCAGCAATACGGTATTAGGTACGCAGGGATCTACTATGACAGGAGTTTTTTCACTTATTTTGCTTGTCCAGTGCTCAAGTTCTGGATACATTAGACTTCGATAGATTGCGCTGCTATCCAAGCATGAGCAGAAGATACGATGCTAGGTGACCTTCTTGGCTACTTCATCAAGTCCGAAATTATCTGACATTCTTTTACTCCCCCAAAAGATCCAAAAAGTCTACTTGCTTGCTTTTCTGGTGGTGGTGTCCTGGTCTTGGTTGGTGGTTTCTGGGTATTGTTCTGGTGGTGTCAGATGGACCATCGTGCCTTCTTCGTGTCGTGGGCACTCAGACGTAGGCATTCTGGCCCGGAGGCTGGTTGAAGATCTGGCTGCTCTCGAGCAGTTTTGGGTTCATGACCTTGTGAGTTTTCTCTATAGTCACTATACCTTTGCACCATGTCTTCAATTCTTCGCTACACCATGAAGATTTCTGCATCCAGCTGGAGCGAGGCCCTTGCATATCCTTGCATCATTTTTTGCAACACCAGACTGAATACATTGAGCCGGGGTATATGAATGGTGGCAGCTGGCCTGGGTTTCAAGAAGAGGCTTACGTCCAGAGCTTCTCACTTGGAACACTGCTGCCACAGCACGTGTCAAATCCGATCAGTGGCAAAGGACGCTTTGCTTGCTTAGGGGAACCAGGGGCGATGCCTTTGCTAGGAGTCGATGCCTGTGGAACGAACATGGCAGTGGGCACTGCATTTTATGGGTCATGCTGGCATTCAGTCCAACCTTAACCTTATCACGGTCAATGCTGCTCTAGATGCTTGTGCCAAAGATGCAAGTTGGCAACAGGCAAGTTTTTCCGGAAGTCATGCACTGCAAGCTGATGTGAGTACTTACAACACCTTGAGCTTTGCATTCGAGCAGGCCCTTTGTGGACACCCCCACTCCACATCCAACATAGCGTAGATGGCCAACCCATCCCAAAACTCAGACTGGAAGTTGACTGGAAGATCTCCTAATTAGGCTCAAGCATTTGTCGCTTGACCAGCTAGGAGAAACCAGAACCATTTACTGTATATAATTGGAGGGAACGGGGGAAGTGACATGGGCCATCGCCTGGTCAGCGCCAAGGCGTGGTGGACCACCAGGTCAATAGATGGCATGCGAGCTCCGCAAAGATGGTTGTGATTTTTGGTGGGTGTTCTAAGCTCCGTGTAAGGCTTGCTGCAACCCTAAGCTTGCCAGAAGTGTGTGTGTGTATATATATATATACATAGTTTGTTTTCATGACCGCTGGGCACTTAGATTTTGAAGACTTGTACCACACATAAATGAGCACTCGGAGGGGTAGAAGTAGAACTTGGCAAAAACATAGTCGTAAGCTCACCGTTGGTCACCGTAAAAACAGCGTGCCCGGAAACCAGCTCTAAAAACTGGCGAGCCAGAACTGTCCCACGAAACCTGACGGAGCCCACAGAGGTGAATGCGTGCGCATAACAAACGTTGTTTGACATTTTTGCTGGACACTTTTCTGCGGTACTCTTCCAAAAGGACGCTCTTGTGCCACACACACACACACTCTTAGATCATGGCTCGCAAGAACTGTAGCAGTTTTGAACTCCAGTGCATTAGCCCTTTAGATGAATACTTAGCGCTTGACTTGAGGGAACGGCAAGAGTGGCAGGGTCGGTCGAACAGAATGTTTCAACAAAACGCCCTAGCCCTTTGGAGTGAATAAAACAATTCCTGCAGGTACGTCCAGAAAACCTCCTTTCTGGATATCGCGACCAAACTATCACTGCCTCCCTGCATACTGAACAAGAGCGCCATTCCTTTGAAGCAGGAGATGACACACACACACACACACACACACGATGCCGAATTCGGCGCTCCGGGGGAAAAATGGCGGGCACTTGATTGAAAAGCTGGGTTACAAACCTGAAAAGCCTCTAGAACGAAGAAACGCAAAGAAAAAGAAACGACAGCAGGAAGGAAAGAAAGCGGGGGGGTGGGTGCAGGAAGGAAAGGGGGTACAGGGGTGTGTGTGGGGTGGGGTGGGGTGACCAGCTCGGGCCCGAAGGCATTTGACCAGAAGGCCGAAATCGGCGCTCCCTTGACTAAAAAACATCAGTTGCGCATAAAAAGCCTTTAGAAACAAAGAAAGACCTAGAAAGCGAAGAGAAACCGAAGGAAGAAACGCAAGACAGCAAGGAATACTTAGGCGCTTGTATGTACAATGAATACTTAGCCGCTCCTATGTACAACGAATACTTAGCCGCATGGCATGTCATTCTTTGAAGGTTGTCAGTGAGCCCTGACGCTGATGAGGGCTCCTCTTTGTCCCTGTCAGCGGCATTCGATCAGCAATCCCAAGCAAGAACGAATTGTCAGTCGGGAGCAATCCGAAAGGAGAACTTCTGTGGGAAGCCCCCCTTAAGGGTATATGCTCAACGCGCCCTCGATGGGATCACGCAGCATACCGCAGTGGGACGATGCTGCGAATCACACTTAGATCATGGCTCGCAAGGGCTGTAGCAGTTTTGAACTCCAGTGCATTAACCCTTTAGATGAATAATACTTAGCGCTTGACTTGAGGGAACGGCAAGAGTGGCGGGGTCGGTCGAACAGAATGTTTCAAAAAAACGCCCTAGCCCTTTAGAGTGAATTAAAGAAATCCTGCAGGTACGTCCAGAAAGCCTCCTTTTCTGGATATCACCACCAAACTGTCACTGTCTTCATTGGGCAGTGAGTGATAGTGGTCCACTGCCCCGCATACGGTACAAGTGTGGTCATTCCTTTGTTCCTTTGAAGCAGGAGGTGACACACACTCTGACAATTGTATTCAGTTAACTCAGTTCCCCAAGGAAAAGAATGGCCCAACGGAATGGCGAAAGGTCCGAGCAAGTTGAAGGTGTTTTAACAAAAGTTGACGCGTGACTGCAGAAAACTAGTTACTGAATACTTAGCAGACCTAGGAAAGGAAAGAGTGAACCGAAAGGCGAAAAGTCCGGGTACTTGAAGGTGTTTTAACAAAGGTTGACGCATGACTGCAGAAAACTAGTTACTGATTACTTAGCCGTGCAAGGAAACCTGTTTTGGGGGATATCATGCGAAGAACCAACATGGAAACAAACCAACAGCGGCAAGGGGAACCAGTGGAGTCATTGCGTTTGATGCAGGTACACAGTGGAGCGTCCTCCACTGCTTCAGCACCAACCGATACCCTCTTCGTTGGACGGGTAGTATCGGTGGTGACCCGTCCCCCTGCATTCAAAACTCTTAGTTCCAGAGGTTAGAGGTGGAACCCTTAGATACAGGGGGTGACGCACACAAACCGCCGATTCCGGCGCAAGTGTGTAGAACGTTGGAAGTGGAACTTTGTACAGAAAGCGCCAATATTGGCGCTGCGAAAAACTAATAGCCACCTAAAAAGCCTTAGAAAAACAGACAAAGCAAACAAAACAAAAGCAGACTAAGAGGGCAAGAAAGAAAGATAGGGGTAGTTACGAGGCCCACTTAGTTAAACGAAAGTAGAACGCGAGCGGGACATTTGTCTTAAACCGCCCGGGTAGCTAGCAATAGGCTAGGAGAAACAGAAGGAAAGGCACCAACGCACAAGTGTGTTGAGTGCGATTTCCTTCTGTTTCCCGAGTAGCGGGTGGGGTAGCGACGGAGGCCCAGGGGTAGGGAGGGGGAAAAATGCACGATTAATTCGTCCGGCCTGTGACTACTTAGCAGCACACGCACATGTGAATACTTAGCCGTCAAAACATCTCAAAAATGCAAGTGTTTCAAAGCCGTCAGTTCCCGTGGTAAGGCCCGGCGGCCATGGTGGCAGTTGATTCAGTGGGTGTGTCGATGATTTCCAGTGGAATTCCGGTGGAAGGTGGCACGTTGTGTTGGGTGATTCCCGATGCAAAACGGCGCCCCAATGATGGGGATCACACTCAGCACCCGAGTGGGACGGCTGAGCGAAACACACTCTAACAATTGTATTCAGTTAACTCAGTTCCCCAAGGAAAGGAATGGCTCAACGGAATGGCGAAAGGTCCGAGCAAGTTGAAGGTGTTTTAACAAAAGTTGACGCGTGACTGCAGAAAACTAGTTACTGAATACAAGGAAAGAGTGAACCGAAAGGCGAAAAGTCCGGGTACTTGAAGGTGTTTTAACAAAGGTTGACGCGTGACTGCAGAAAACTAGTTCCTGATTACTTAGCCGTGCAAGGAAACCTGTTTTGGGGGATCTCATGCGAAGAACCAACATGGAAACAAACCAACAGCGGCAAGGGGAACCAGTGGAGTCATTGCGTTTGATGCAGGTACACAGTGGAGCGTCCTCCACTGCTTCAGCACCAACCGATACCCTCTTCGTTGGACGGGTAGTATCGGTGGTGACCCGTCCCCCTGCATTCAAAACTCTTAGTTCCAGAGGTTAGAGGTGGAACCCTTAGATACAGGGGGTGACACACACACACACACATGTGGGACACTCGTGCGCGACACTCTTGCTGACCACTGTGTAGGACACTGATCTGGAGCCCTTTTCGGGGAAAATCTTGTGGCACACTCTAGGGCCCTCTTGTAAGGCACTTGCAGAGCGCTCTTGTGGGACACTCTTGTAGAGCGCTCAATGTGGGGCGCGACATTCTTGTGGGGCATTCTTGCGGTGCACTTTTGTAGGCCACTGTTGCCCAATCTTTCGGCGCACCTTGTGAGACACTCTTGGGGGGGGCCTTTGAGGGGCACTCTGATAGCTGCGGTTTGTGCGACACCTTGGATAATTTCTTGCGTGGGTCACTCTTGTGGGATATTTTTGTAAAGCACTTCAAAAGTCAAACGTAGAACTCTCCAAAACCAGCTTCGGAATCCAACCCCCCCGAAAGCACAGCCGCTGACATGCCAATCCCAATGGCAAAGCAACATTGACCTGTACCCAACATCACCAACTCACGCTTCCCTGCGCCTGCCATGAAAACCGCACCTGTGTTGGAATTTGAGGCTGCCCACTGCGCAAGCATTGGAGTGGCTTGGCCTTGAGGAATGGTTGCCTTTGAGTTTTCACCTTTGGGAAATTTGAACGTTTTACCTCCAAAGAAGTGTTCTTTTGTCAGCTACTAGTAACAAGTGCATTACTACTAGTAACAAGAAGCTACTAGTAGCGATGCACTTGTTACTAGTAGTTTCTAGGTACTAGTAGTAATGCCCTTGTTACCAGTTGCGATGCCCTTGTTACTAGTAGTGATGACCGGTGAGGTTAATACCTTCAGAGTTTGTCCATTTGGCTTTCCAAGCGCCGCCTGCCTTGCCCGAAGGGAAGGAGCCTCGGCACCGAATCTGGATAACTGGGGGTTAACCCATCAAAGGTTTTTTGACGCCAAACCATGTTGCGAATTTACCACTGTATTATCTACATTGAAGTGGACTCCATTGTTCTTGGAAATTGCTAGGGAACCGCTGGGGTGCCCAAGTTTTGCAAGGCCAGCAAAGTGCTGATTTGGCCCTTCGTGGTTTGCTCAACTGCTGCATCTTGTCAGCGAGAGGAGGATGTCCTGTGGCATTAACACAGAGATTCAGAACAGTTTTTTGCTCCAGACTTCCAGATTTGACTGAGTGTGCTTCTTGCTTGTTCTCTCCAACGTTTGAGGTTGCTGTGCTGCTGCTTCTTCTCCAGCGGAAGCGGGCACATGCTGCAAGATGACGTCCAAAGAAGCACCTGGCATTGACTTCGGCTGGGTTGCGGGGACTGGGGTGGAACCATTCTCCATTGTGCTGAGCCTTTTCGCTTGAAAGAACCATTGAAATTGCATTGCCAATTCGCACGCGCCGCAAGAGCCATTGGCGTGACAGCATCGTTTTGAATCCCTCATGAGACTCACAGTGTGTCACACAGGGCAAGTTTTGTCGCTGCACAAGTCAATCCAAGCTTTGTCAAAGACCATCCTTTTCCGGGGACACAGAAGCCTGCCATCGGTGTTGGTCGAGGTCTCATCATGTCTCCTCAATGTTTCTAAGACTTGAGACGAATGTGTGTGGGAGCCATGGTCGACGAGCCTGTGGCAGCCTCACGGCTTCCCGCAGTTGTCAAGTCATTATAAGTATTTTCCGGCAGTCTTGACATTTCAGGACGTCTTCCACACAGCCCTCAGGCGGCACTTTGCGGAGGCTTCAGAGTTTGGAACGAAGTAGACTGACAGGTCCGGTTGGGTTCCCATGACATAGAGGACTCTGAGAAGATATGTTCAAAAAGAGGATGTATGGAGTATTCAAGCTACACTTTTGGGTTTCATATCCTGGAGGTTGTTTCTTTTGGGACCCTAAACGATTTGGCCTTCAGACACGAAGACAGGCTGGCTTTGTCGCCAAGCTTCCAAGCTCGAGGCAGCAACCTTTGGCGTGCAAAGGACATTGCGTTGTGTTGATGTGAATGAAAATGGATGAACACGGAGATTTGTCTCAGCTTGACGTTGCCAATGGTTGTCATTTGTGCTTTGGCACGAGAGAGAACACAAGGAGAATCTGCACTTGCAGGCCTGGCTCCGTGCATTTCTTGGTTCTTGTGCAGCGCATGGAACAAGGAGTACGGAAGCTCAAGAGTGGAAAAGTCCACTTCACAGGGTTGCAACATCCTTTCCCACAGTTTTTTCAGCCTAAAACACAGTTTTTTTCAAGTTTCAATGGTGTCTTCTTACCCATTTTTTTTGTAAAGCGGGGCTTTTGGCAACAATGGCAGTTGCTAGAGGACTGATGTCCGGGCTGGAGCGGCTTCCCTGTCCCACATCTTCCGTTTGCTTTAACTCTGGTTTAATGGCCGCACGCATGGACATTCAGAATGAGTAATGCTGACCATGAACCATCCCGAAGCATTCGCTTGAGAACCATTGCGATTCAGCTTGCAACTTCCTTGAAGCGTTGGTCGTTCAGGTTTGCATCGAGGTTACGGACTGCGAGCAGGGACTCTTTCGGGATCGTTTAGACGCCGCGAAGTTGCAGCAACTTCGGCAAGATGCAGGTGTGCAAATGATTGATCACCGCTTGATGGACATGTCTTTTTGATCATTGTTTTGCGCCCGCCTGTGTTCAGCACTCTTATCACATCAGCTGAGCTCAGCTGCAGGGATGGCCGAATTTGCTTGGCCGACCTTTCTGCGGTTGCTGGCGCAAGCACTGCGTGGCGAGGTGAGAAGACCTATTGGTCTCTGAATTCAACCCGTGCTGTGACCGGAAACTCCATGACATCAGGGCTGGAATGATGGCTGGAGAGTCACTGGGGCCAGGATGGATGCAGCACCACTGCAGTAGTGATGGGTGGTGGTCCCCCAAAGTGCTGACCTCAACTGTCATGGCAACTGACCCTACTTTGGGCCTTGAAACTTTTGTTTGTGCCATGTGCCATCCAGTGGCCATGGTATGCCCGGGTGACCAAGGCTTCAATTGGAGTTCCGATTTCGCCTGCAATCGGCTGTACTTCTGGCACGCATGCAAATGGAGGTTTCGTTCCCCATGATGCTGTTGGATGACCAGTTGATGTTATATTTCTTGCTCAGGCTGCAGCGTCGCTGCCCAGCATTTCACCTGAAGCGCAAGAGTTTCTAAAGGACTGGGTTTGCAGAGTTGGTGCTTCTTCCATGCACGATGGGCCACATGTTGCGGCTTGTGAGTTTTGGGTCATTTGCAATGATTCTTGTTGAGTTCTGTCAGCGTTGCGAGCTGTGAGTTTTGGAGGAGTTGCGCGGTTTCTTCCTCGGTGCCTTGGACGCCGCAGCAAGCGCAGCGTGCACGGCTGGTGCCACAGGCACCGCTACGACCAGCATGGCTGCAGTTGCGTCGCCTGTGCCAACGCGGGGCGAGCTGCTGCTCACGCCGCCGCGGGCGGTGAGTGCCCCAGCAGTGCTTGGGCAGGTGCAACTTGGCCAATTCTTTGGAGAAGCCGCAGTGAGTTGTCCTTCGATGTTTTCATTCCCAAAATGCATGCAAAGGGTCCTCCGTAAAGAACGGCTGCCAAGGTCAACTCTCCAACCATCATTATCATTATGTCACATCACAATCATCGCAATCATCCTTGTCATCAACATCAACAACATCATCGTCATCACCATCACCATCATCATCATCATCATCACCATCATCATCATCATCATCATCAACGTCATGTAGGCGCAGATGCAGGTAATGCGCCTGCTCTGGCACACCTATATATAGATGTACAGGTATGGAGATACAGCTGCTGAGATACAGGTGTAGAGATTCATGATACAGGTGTTGAGGCACAGGTGTTGAGGCATAGGTGTAGAGATAAAGGTGTTGACACAGAGGTGAAGACAGCTACAAAACTCACCTACACAACTACAACATTGGCCACTTTCTAATCTTCTAAGGTGGCGGGGTGGTCCGGCCGATGCTCGCGAAGCACGGAGACCGTGCGTGTCGGATGTGCAAAGCTGTGGTATTAAATGCGCAACTGCCTGGGCGTCGAGCGCTCAAGCGTGAAGTGAAGCACGAATTTTCGCCCCCGTCAGTGAACAGTTTGCGGGGATCGTGCGAGTCGAGTGCTCAAAGTGTGTAACAGTCTTCCAAAAACATGGCAGAAAGTGCCAAAGCGTGTAAGAGTCGCCGAAAATCATGGTGGAAGTGGCCAAAGTGTGTATATAACCGTCGCCGAAAAGGAAGATGGCAGTTGCCAAAGTGTGCAGCCAACCGTCGTCGAAAATGAAGGTGGGAGTTGATCGAAAACCCCGTGTAAGGAGTTTTATATGAAACAGCCTTTCAGATGTTGTTAGAACCATCCGCGAAAGATTCGCGATGAGGTTCGCGAAAGTATCTTTTTTTCCGCGAAAGATTTATCGAAGGTCATCGCTTTCATTGTTTCCATTTCTACCGGACTGACAAAGAGCCAGTGGGCGGAAGTGTCCCCATATGTCACAGACTAACGAACTGAAGCCTCAACATTTCCGTGCCCGGGGAAAGCGCCAGTGAAATTTCGCGAAAGATCCGCGAAAGTTTCGCGAATGTGCCGCTAAAGTCCAGGTTCCCAGCTTGAGGCCCCCCAACATTCCCCAAGCTGCATCACCCTGTGTTGGTAGCTGACACGAGGATTGGGTTGAGTTGTGCCTGACTCTATATTGTCGCACAGATGCTGCAAGTGACCCTGAGTAGCTGTGGAAACGTTTAACCATCTACTGGGGTCATGCTGCAAGATGTCTCTCCCTATTTTGTGATACTATGACATGTTCCGGCTCATGTTAGCTAGACATGGTTGTAGGACCATGCTTCGCGATGAGGCCGCGAAAGATCCGCGAAAGATATCTTCTTTTCCGCGATGAATGGCCATTCCAGGATGAAAGAATATTGATCAACCACCAGGTGGGCGTTGCCAATCGTCTAATATGAAGGTGGAAGTTGTCAAAGTGCGTCACCGTCCTCAAGACTGAAGGTGGGTTCGAAGTTGGCATAACTGTTGTCGAACATGAAGGTTGCCAAAGTGTGTAACCGTCATCGAGAATCAAGGTTGTCGGCTCCCAAAGTGTGTAAATGTCGTCGAAAACGAAGGTGGAAGTTGCCAAGGTGTGTAACTGTCGTCGAGACTCAAGGTGGAAGCTGCCAAGTGTGTAACTGTCGCCGAAAATGATGGCGGAAGTTGCACATGTGTGTAACTGTTGTCGAAAATGAATGGGTGTTGCCAATGTGCGTAACTGTCGACAACGGTCCCCGGGCAAATTTAAGCAGCGAGCGAAAGCTGTGGCCTCAGCTGGCAAGTTTGTAGTTGTATAGTGCGGGAAGCACGCGTGTGGTACGGGAAACGAAGCAGCTTTGTGGAGGTGGCCTCAGAACTGGCAATTATTGTGGAACTGTATTGCTGAAGCAGCTTCTGGGCGCTGGGTGTGTGGCAAAGCGTGCGGCGTAATCACCTCTTTGATGTCGCTGAGCCATGGGGTTTTGCATTGCTTCGGTGGAAAGTGTGTTAACCTGAGTCCGTGCCATTGGGGGAAGGAAAACACACTGGGGTAAACGTGGCGTGTCGCTGGTGAGCGGGATGATTGGTAGTTTCACAGCAGAGAGCCCTACAAGAGTGCCCCACAAGAATGTCTACAAGAGTGTCGCACAAGAGTGCCCTACAGTGACCCGTGACAAGAGTGGCGTCGCAACTGTCTTACAAATGTCAAACAAGAGTGCCTAACAGAGAGCGTCACGCAAGGGTGTCCTTCAAGTGTGTTTGACAAGAGTGTCCCACAAGGGTGTCCCACAACACTGTCCTACAAGAGTGTCCTCCTGGAGTGTTGTGCATGAGTCCACCACAGGCCCAACAAGTACATCTTGAGACTATCAAATATACTTTATCTTGGCCCACTAGAACCATTGTGCTCATCATCAGTAAATACCATTTTTATCACCATCATCAACATGGCCGCCGCCATCATCATGATGATGATCTTCATCGTCGTCCATACTTTTTGCCATCTCCTACGGTGCTTTTGGACCACCCTGTTGTCTAGTCAGTTTGCAACGTTTTGTTTTTGAAAGCCAGGTCTCCAGTCAAGAGCCGCGGCCCGAAGTGCCTCCAAGGTTCGCCACTGAAGAAGGGACCAATTTGTTCTTTGTTTGGGAATGGCACGGAAAAGGTCGGACCAAATTCAGGAAGCCAGCTTGCGCAATCAGGAAACCCAGGACACCCTGGGTCAGGGTACACACTTTGCGGCGTTTAGGGTCTCACTTCTTTGGGTTTGGCTTAGAGCTTGATATTCTTTAGGTTTTTTGTGGGTTCGACTTCCGGGGTTCGCCTTTGTAGATTCTTCTGGGTTGGGTTTAGGGTTTCCTTGGTTCTGGCATAGGGTTTCGCTTTTTAAGGGTTTCTTCGGGCTGCTTTCTTAATTTTTTTTTGGGGTTGGTGGAGGGTTCTTACTTTTGTAGCCTTTCTTTGGTTCTGGCATAGGGTTTCAGGGGTTTCACTTTTTTTGAGTTTCTTCGGCTGATTTCTTTAAGAATTCTTTGGGGTTGGTGGAGGGTTCTTGCTTCTGTAGCCTTTCTTTGGTTTTGGCTTAGGGCTTCTCTCTGGGATTCTCTGAGCTTGGTTAAGGTGGGTTCACTCGGGGTTGTTTGGGCTGGGTTTAGGGAACACTTCTTTAGGGTGTCTGTGTGCTTGGCTCAGGGCTTCACTTCTTGAGGTTTTCTTTGGGTTTGGTTTGGGGCTTTGAATAGGGTTCTCTGGGTTTGCTTCACGACCTTCACTGGTGGTTAGGTTTAGGGCTTTGACTGCTTAAAGGTTTCTTTGGGCTTGCTTAAGGGCTGTACTTATGTAAGGTTTCTTTGGTTTGGCTCGCGGGTCACGCCTTCTCAAGGTTTTTCAGGCTTGGCTTAAGTTTCCAGGGGTTTGCCATGAGCTGGCTTTTAACTGGCTCTCAAAGATTGTTGAGGGTTACGGTTCTGGTGTATCAAATTGCAGTGTGTGAATGTGTGAAAGGGCATCCTTTTTCTGAAGGATGGCCTTTTTTTGGTAGTCTGTCTCCTGGAGTAACAGGTCTTGTCTGGGCATCCCTTTAAATCAGAAACACTATCACTGTCTTTCAACCTGGCTCCCGAAAAAGAGGTAGTTTCCTGACTCGTTTCCCGCCCAGTTTTTGTGACTCAGTTCCCTTCTCCTTTGACTCATAGTTTCTAGACCCTCAAGCTTCCTTGCTGGAGCTCGTGACTGGAACGTTGTCTCTTGACTCTGCTCAATTGGTTTCCTGACTCGGTTTCCTGACTGTCCTCATTCATGTTTTAAACCTTTGAAACCCTGATTTTATGGGCGTTTGTGCTTTTCTGCTCGAACATGTTCGGGGCGCGTGCTATTATTGCCTTTCGTTTTCACCAATTGCTGAGCAAGGAGGCGTGGTGGGACCACGGTAACTTAGGCTGTGGGAGAGTCAACCCTACCCTATAAGCCTATAAACTACAGACTACAGGTTTTCCATTGTCTTTGCACATCCTTCCTGCTCTCAACATTTGGAACCTTTCTCAAAACCATTCCCCACACTTACCGCCGACCTTTGGAACCTCCCTCCCAAACCTTCGTAGTCAGTTCCACATCGAAACCACTCCAAAAACTGAAGCGTGGCGGATCCTTGTAAACCGTTGTAAACCCGTACATTTCCTGCGAAACCGTTTTTTCTTGCCAGCCGCCAGACCATAACAATTATACTGTGTACAGATGACTTAGGAGTTAGCGGAGGTACACCCAAAATCATGAATCCTATCTCATGTTGAAAGGTACTTTTGGACAATCTTTTCATACATAACTCCTAGCCATGAGCCTGGGGTAGTGAAAAAGGCGAAATCTTGTGTCCGAAACCTGTTCCGATAATTGTGAGATGGGACTTCCAGGCAGGGTTCCCGTATGTGTTTCCTATCTCTTGAGTCTATGTAGGGCATGTCCACCATCCCTACACACATGAGTTAGGAGTTGACCCAGGCAAGTCCTAACTCATCCGACCACCAAAGTCCTAACTTACTTGTACCAAGTATAATACTAAGCTCTTGATTCTCAGCTGCCGGACCCGGTTGCCCCATCTGGTTCTTGCATCGAAATCATCCCAAAAACTGGAGCTGCCGAAGGGGACGAAGCCGTATTAACTTCCGAACTTTCCCGCTTCAGCCAGGGTCGGTGGATAAAGGAGACGTCCTCTTAAAAAGTCGATTCAAGTCTGTTCCCATTCAGTTTTTCTTTCAGAGTCCTTTAGCTTTGTCAGGCCAGCGCCGGCAAAGAAACGCGCTCCGGGATCCTTGGTGGACCTTCATGGAAGGCGGCCTGGAACCCACAAGCTGAGCAGTTTCAGAGATTGAACTGTGCAGGAAAGCTCGCCGCGGCGGAGCAAAGCCTTTCCAGCTTGCTGAGACCTGAAGCTGAGATAAAATAGGTTTGACCAGTGGCAGAGGTCCTTGGAATGGTGTGATGACGATGAAACTCGATCAAACAGAGAAGTGAAGACTGGAGCTGAAAGCCTGATAGAGGATCAACCAGAGATGCATCCGCCGTGTGGCTGAAAGTCCTCAAGGTTAGTTCAGCCTTGAGTGGAGCCATGCTCTTTGCATCTTTTTGGCAATGAGTTTTTGAGAATCATGTGATACTTTGCAGGACGGACAGACCGTTTGTATTGTGTGTTTGCATTGTAAAGGATTTTGACATTTTTAGGAAGTCTATTTATACACCACTGAGACTGAGACCTACCATAGGGGATGGACAGTTAGAAACGTCGGGGTGCTCACGCTTCGCTGTCACTGCCGACTGTCACGCGGCTGTCGCATTTTAGATGCAAGTCTTCTTTCCACCCTTTTGCGTGATCTTTGGCCGGGCTGATGCTGTAAATCTTGGAGAATGCTCGGCAATCGATGCCACTCATTCGCGGTCCAAGTTTGGGTGGCCCTTGACTGATGCAGTTCTTGGAAGAGCAAGCTAGTGCGTGCTGGCACCGGCTGCACCAATCCCTTGAAAGCGCCCGTGTAATGCGTGCGCCAATAGCATTTTTTTTGCTAGTGAAGCTGTTGTCTTCGCTTCGCATTTACCGTACCACAGCCGTGTGCACACTTGCATTTGCTTGGAATCGTACACAGCTTCTTGTTTCTAAGCTGACCAGACAGATCGTTTGTACTGACCACTGGTTTCTGCCAACAACTTAGGTTTCTGCCAACAACGTAGCTACTTCCTCCACGTGGTTTGAATCCCTGTAACAGGCCTGTCTTGTGTGAGAAAGTGCCAGGGACTTTGCCTGCTGGTTAGTTCCCCTAGCAGGTGACTTGCAGCAATTTTTCATTATGGTCTATGCGACAAGGCTAATTTGGGCACTATGGGAAGAGGCTCAGCATGCTTGATGTGGCTTTGCGTTGACTGCAGCCATCATGACTTTTGTATTGGAGTTTGGTCAGGTCTCTGTGGAATTGGTGCTGCTACTGTGCTTTTGCATCGGTTTCTTTCTCCTTCGAATTCATCAGCAGAAGAAGGTCTTCTCAGGCACCCATCCGCAGGATTCGGTCAATTGGTCAGAAGGGCTTGGCATTGCAGTGGCAGGAGGGATGAAGGGCACCAGAAGAATGCAGCCAGACTTGGCGGAGGGATCCAGGCAGAGATTTTTTCAGCCAGAAATCCCTTCATGCAGCAACCCTTTCTTTAGCATACAGTTTGGAGGTGTTGCTTGAAAAGAAAGCAACTGGAGCGAGTGCAGCAACTGCTCTCAAAGGGCAAAGGGACACGCTGCTGAAGTGAAGTGCTCTGCATGTTACATCAACACAGTTCACTTGAGCAGTGACCAAGCAATTCGAAGCGATATTAATGCAAGATGCCTTCGTGAAATATGAGGAAAAGTAAGAACTCATTAGATTGCATTCTCATGAACTCTCACTAGGGTTTTGGACAACGCTCAGTTGGCCTTCAACTCTGAGGGACGAAGCCTTGGAACTCTTGCGGGCTGGTGTGCCGAGCTCCTTTGCTCTGCCTGGCTCTTGCCTGGTGCGGGACTTGTTTAAGTACTGTATGATGTCGTGTCGATCGTATTTCAAGCAGCCGTTGAAGCATGTGAAACGGGCACGCAGTGGCCGGCGCGCCATCATCCTGCCTGGTGCGATAATGAGGTGGCACTTTTCGATGTTCTTCTGGCAGTTGAAGAAGTGGATGGAGCGGACGGTCGACTAGACGTAGCTGGACAGCTCTTGCAGCTCCCAGCAGGCGAGATCATAAACACATCATATGTCATATATATATAAATAAATATATAAATATATATATATAGGGTGCTGCCGATGCACAGGCGCATTGGACGGACGCAGCATCCTGGCACTTGCACACCATGCAGCAGCCTTGGGCAACCCTAACGCAGTCTGCCAGGCGCAGACTGCAAAGTCGAAGAGCCGAAAAAGGAGGAACACTTTTGAACAATGCAAACACTTGCAGTTTTACGAAGCCATCCTTCCCGCCCACTTTTTGTGCACACAGACAGGTGCACAGGGTGGCCGTGGCCAGATCAATGCCTCCCAGTGTTTGTGAAGCGCTGTTGAAAGCTTACGCGACCTGTGGGGTGACTACAGCTCCGGAGGTGAGCACAGTGTTCTTTTTTGTTCTTTTAAAGAGGAGGTAGGCCGTAGTAAGCTTCAGCTGCTACTACGCTCTGACGAAGGAAAGCTCAGGCTTCCTTGAAGAAACGCTCGCGCTATTCATGTGAGTCCTAGTTTTTTGGGAAACTACCGCACAGACGACCATTCCATTTTCATCCTGCATACGTTTGCCATCAGGCGTTTGAGTCTTTGCTGCTGACCTGGACCCCATCACATTCTACTTTGCATTCTGCAATTGCGCTTTGTACACCGCAATCCATTCGCCTTGCCGAATGCTTGGCCAGCTATGCTCGACAAAGGCTCATTGAGGGCAACATTGACATGGTCAATCGTTACAAGAGCGCACTGGTACCAGGGCCAAGTTTTCAAGACCTTGTTTAAGTCATGGTGATCAGTCTGTGTGAACCCATCACCGGCGAGTGGGCAATAGTGAATGTTGTATGGTAGACAACTAAACTGGCATTTGCATGAACTTGCAGTTTGATGCAGTTTGTTTATTAATAAGCGTTTACTTTGACCATTTGCAGGCACGGTGTTACCCTGCCCATCTCAGCTGCCCTTCTCAAAGTCTACAGCCAAGCAAAGCTTTGGGACAGAGCATGTAGCATCTACGAGGAGCTCAACAACGCAGGCTATTGGAGTCGAGCTATTTTGTGCTTACTTTGGAATTTGTTGGTTGCCGTCTTTAGCCACGTGTGGACCCGCGTAACCCATGGTCGGAGGTGTTTTGCCTGATACGGCCACGTACGGAGCCCTCATCAAGGCTTGGGAATCGAATGATGGAACAGAGAGACGCATGTGGACGCCAGGCTGCTGTGGAGGCCGGACGGCACCCGCTGGCACAACATTTATTCCAGGAGTTTCCTGACACTGATCCTTTTTGATATCGGCAATATATCGGCAATATTGATGATGTCAAGAGCCAGAGTTGGATGATGTCTATGACAGGAGTCAAAGAATCCTGATGCCTGCGGCTCAAAGTCTAGTTGGCACTGATGTATACTGTACATCTAGTGTGTATGTACTGTATGGATGTGTATGTATATATATATATATACACATACATATGCACACAGTTGGTTCTAGTCTAGTTGGGGGATGATTCATGTTGATGTATTTTTATTGCTGTTCTTGTCTTTCAGCTGTGAAACTGTGTTGGAGTCGTGCTGTGCAGAGGCCATGAATGTCATGTCGATGATCCGTGCTGCGGGACGTGCCAAAGAAGTATCCAAAGCTTTGGAGATGCTGAGCCAGCTGCAGCAAACAACGCTTCGCAGCTGCAAACATGTCGTGGTTTGATGGGAGGGATCTAATAGATATGAGATGTGGTCATAGTCGCTCTACTATTTCTGTATTGCAGTTGAATAACGCTGGATGAAAGGGAGGGTGTCAGGCATGTTTATTATTGATGGGGCGCCAGGATAGTGTTCCTGTCAAACATCATGACTGAGGACACTGGATGCCACGATCTACAATTGTGCACTTGAGGCGCCTGGTTGGGGGTTCAATAGAGATTCCACGTGATTAGACGGACTGTTTGCTCAAGTCCAATTTGTCAATAAGCTTTCTGCCAGATCAGCGTCGGGGACACTTTTTCTTTTCTCTCCTGAAATCCGGAAAGATGTCTTGGATTCGAAGGCCTGTGTAACGGGTGGCGACCGTTCAAGTGCAGAGAAACTCTTAAAGCAAATGTCGGATTTGGGCTGCGTGGATGTTATCTCCTACAATACGCCGCGAGCTCAGACGCTGAGGGAACAAAGACTGGAGAACTTGCAGGACTTCATTTTGTTTGCCTCCGTTTCTTTTTCCCAAAACAGTTTACTGTTCGGGTTCTCCTAGACTCTAGGAAAAGTACGGCCCACTGTTTCTGGCCGTGCCCCTGAACCGTTGTCCTCCTCCGATCGCGCTCGCGAACTCCGTGTCCTCCTCGTGTCCTCCTGCTGTCCTCTGGCGCTGCTGGGGAACCCTATGTCCTCTTGTTCCCCAAACAGTTTACTGATGTTTACTGTTGGGTTTCTCTCTTAGGAAGAAAAGCGCCGCTGGCCGCAATACCTGGAGCCGCGCCGTCGGCCCTGTCTTCTCCGCCTTGTCCGGGCCTTGTTTGGGCCTTGTCCGGATCTGTGTGTAGGCTTTCTTCTCCGTATCCGTGGCCTTGTCCGCTGCGCTACTGTGGGCCCTGCGTTCGCCGCGCCTTGTCCACGCAGGCCTTGGCCGTTGGGTGGGCCGTGCGCCGTTCTTCTCCGCCTTGTGAAAGGCTGGTCCAGGCTGTGTCCGGGTCTATTTGTCTTGTCCTTGTGTTGTCGGCCCATGTCCCTTTTATCGCCGCCTTGTCCAGGCCTTGACCCCTGCTTGGCCACTCCGCTTTCCCTTTCTCCACCCCCTTGTCCAGGTATGTTTTCGTGGAGCAGGGGGTGCAACATGCCAAACTTGATACCGTCCTCGGATTTTCTCATGACTCATGACATAAGCCCCGTCGTTTTTGCACGTTTGACCCGGGAAGCAGGAACTGTTGTTTTCAAGCATTTTTTGATTAAACTAAACAATGCCTTCCCACGTAGCTGGAGGCCATAGGAATATAAGTGCCGGCGGTACGGCGTTCCCACCAACATTGGAACGCAACACATATTTTTTCCTGTCATAATTAGTTATGGAGAATGGATTCAGGATCCAAGAGAGTGTGTCTCTCAGGTATATCAAGTTGTTGCTGCAGGCACATTTGCATGACGAAGTGCAACTCATTTTGCAGGAGCTTAAAGCCTGTTGTAGCAGCGTTCTATATCTATAGCAAGGGTTTGCTTTCATTTGTGTTTCTGTTTTTCCTGCCGCTGTGCTGTTTCTGGCAAGTCTCCTCGTTTTGTGCAGGAGATGCGTGGACACAGAATGGCTCCAAATGTTGTGACTTACAACTCCATCATCAAGGCACATTGAGACATCCAAATCATTATACATATATAAATATAGATGGTTTTTGTAATTACTTGCTCTAAATTTGAGCTTGACAGCTTCTCGTCATCAAGGTGACCAACATGAACACCTGACGGAATTTCTTGGTCTTATAGATTTAGGCTACACTTAGACAAGCCCGCGCAGTTTGTAGATCGGTGGGCTTCATGCCATGGTTTGTAGAAACTCATTCAGAGTTTATGAAACTCTCGAAACTCTCAAACACACGGATGCCTATGAACTGCTAGGAAGCTGCTTCAAGGGACATGGAGGCCGCTTGGGAACTTGTTGAGGAGACAACGCTGGATGTTGTGGGATTGCTCTCATCGCAGCTTCGCTGTCTCTGAAAGCAAGGAGATGCAACGCCAGGGTCTTTGCCCAGATGCTTACACAGCCTCTATCTTGGGAGCAGGTAGCCGGACTTTGAGAATAACAATATGAAACATAATCTGCAAAGCACTGACTGAATTCTTCTTTGCGAGTGGGTGGCTTTGATGGCTTTGAGAGTTACTTCGCTGAGCAGCTCACCGCCTCTGGTGACAGGTCTTCGACAGAAGCCAAGTCAAGCAGGTCTGGATCGAGTATTGGCGCTCACGCGATCCTCGGTCTCAATTTTGCACAGTTTTGTTTCGCGTTCAATGGATTGTCTCAGGTTGGCAGAAAAGCAGTCACATCCAAAAGCCGCAAATAGTAGAGGGACGTAAAGGGTAGCAAGTTTACAGCTTGGCCAAAAGAAACTCCCAAGAACTGGTTCGGGGAGCTGTCCAACCTATGGCACAGCTTCGCGGACTTGGTGGAATGAAGATGAGTGGGCTCCCAAACGGTTGCTGTAGCTATTCACAACTGTACTTTGTAACCCTTCCAGTCATCAAGAGCCACACTTCCCAAAGAATGACTAGGAATCCAGATGATCGCTTTGCCACTGCCAAGGGCAGCTGGACCCAGACGATGTATTGGTGAATTGTTTGCTTGATGTTTGCATCAGACTCAAGGACCGATGGACCGACGGACCGACAGAAGCACCCGGGCAGGAACCGGGGAAGCTTCCGTAGCGCTTTTGCGCTGCTCCAATCTCAGGGTCGTCAACCCTGTCCCCTGCCTACATATCCTGGCTGTCTTGACCGTAGTACATGTAGTTGACGCACAGGCTGCAGATTTGAGCAACATTTCAGAACATTAGCAGGCTGATCAAAGGATTGCTTCGCGGCTTGTTTCTGTTTGCGGCTTGCTGCTGGTAGGACAAGAAGAGGCTACGGGAAGTATTAGCTTGGCGGAGCAAAAGTACAGCTCCCCTTACGCACGTCTCTTGGCTTGCTTTGGTGGATCGGACGAAAGAGGCAACCTAAACTCACAAGAAGTGTTAGACGCTTCTTCTTTTACTTCTTCTTCTTCTTCTTCCAGGCATCTACAATGTTGATGCGTGCTCACGGCCATGCCCAACAGATGGATGTACCTGAGCAGCATCCCTCGAGCACTAGCTTGAAGAATGTTCGAGGGACAATGCAAGCAGTTGTGCCAAACCTTTGTTGTTCTGAAGCCACTTGAGGCTGTATAATACCCATCAGAAAACTAAAACAGGAAAAAGTCGATAACGATGGATGACATCACATGTTTTGACAGGGGCATGTTGATTTAAGGATGTTTGCTTGCAATGTGTTGTACTTTTTGACTTGGAGCTGGACCGGTGCATCTATCTGCTGGAATGATAGAAATCAAGGTTCTTTTTGTTTCTGCTTCGCTTACGGCTTCACTGATGGCTGTGCCTGCGTCATACTGTACCCGAAGTACTGCGTGCAGCTGATGTGTGTTTCATATGGAGAATATTTCACAATGTGCCGTGGCGAAGTGGTGGGTGAAACATGGCTGTAGATGCTGTACTTTCATCTCAAGCCTTGGTAGCAATGGTAACTCGCATCATTGTGCCTCGATGGGTTTTCCGAATCGTAAACTATGGTGTCCACATAGGTTGCGCAACGGACCATCTGAGATTAGATCTGCAGATCAAGCTCATATGCTTTTGCCTATCAACAGCGAGACATCAGACGACCTGGTTGGAGGGATCCCGTCCCGCGGAGACGCCAGATCCAGGAGATACCGCCCAGCTTTGCAAGAGCCACGGGTCACGGCGGCACCTTCCTGCAAAAGGCGTCAAGCCGATAAAGGCCCCGAAGGCAGCGAAGGACAAACAGCGTTTACAGCGCGAACTGGCCACACTGCAAGCTGAAGCGCGCTATTCCGCAACTTCTTCACGCAGCGGCGCAGCCTCATCAGACAGTGGAGACTGACAGAAATGCGTGCGTCCATGCATCCATGCTTTGAAGTCAGTTCTTTACATACCCATCCCCAAACCATTGAAGTACGATGAAGAAGAGCACTACACTTACATATTTCCTCCCTTGAGGCGTCAGTAGGAATATGACAGTCGGCAAAAAGAGCCGCAGTGCGCTGAGGAAGCTTGGGCCATTTGGCGCGACCTGTTGCGGAACAAGCGGGCGCTGACTGAGGACTGACACAGGAAACGTGAGACGGGAAGCGGCAAAGCCGCTTCTCCTTACACTTACAGTCTTGTGCCTCACTGCCTGCCAATACTTGGAAGGACGTATTTATGAGTATGGTTGACGCTTGCCTGGCGGGCTCTGACTTGAAAGCGCTCCTGCAAGTGTTCCAGGAGAGTACCAAACAAGATTGTGGATAGTGAGTAGCACTAGGTCAACTCGTGACTCGTGACCGGGTTTGAACTTTCTGTGTTGCGTTACCCTTGTCCGTTACCCTTGCTTCCCCTTTTCATTCATTCGTGTTTCTTGTTTCTTTCTCCTTTGTGGTTGTTCATTTCACACGTCTCTGTTTGTGTTGCTTTTGTTTACTTTGATTGTCATTCGGTCTGTTGCCCCCCCCACCCCCTTGTTAAAGAAGTTGGAGGGGGGGTGCGGTAAATAAATCAGTTCCACCTTCTTTACAGGAATTTCTACCATGATGCCACCCTCCTGCAGACACGCGCGCAATCATATTTGATTTGTACCCGGCTTGATTTTTGCGGTGACCTCCGAAGTGGGTATCTTCTCAGGATTTGGACGTTTGATCGCCTTCGAGTTTGCAGCTGGGGAAAAGAAGGCGGCCAGAGGAACAAAGCCCACCATCATGCGTCGCCAGATATGACCGTACGCTGTAAGCAGTCTCTCCGTCTCTCCACTCAGCGGGTAGAGCCATGCGCGCACCCGAAGCTATCTTCTGCAGACGTGTCAGGTATATCTGATTCAAGGAGGGCCCAACTTACGATTGCCCGTGATTGCCAATTAGTTAGTCACAGAGTGGACGCCGTTCCATGTCAGCCAGCAAGCCGCACAGGCCATCTGAACATTTCGCAAAAGATGGATTCTTTTCCCAAGAGCCTGAGCGAAGGTTTCTCCGTAAAAACAGGAGTTTACATATCAGCACAACTTACATTCGCACGTATCCAGATATCGTAACATCTGAGCGTCTTCACACCTGCGCATATCCAGGCATGCACATCTTGACATCTGCGCATATCCAGACGCGCGCATCTTCGCGTCCGCACATATCCAGATGTGCGCATCTTCAAATCTGTGCAGCTTCACAACTGCAGATATCCAGACATGGGCATCTTCACATCTGCGTATCTCTCTCTCTCTCTCTCTCTTTCTCTCTGTCGGTGGCAACCCTGAGGGAACATTGCGATTTCAATGTTTCGGCGGCAATCCTTTGGCGCTAAATGCGTGTCGACCATTCAAGACTCTTTCTTTCCATTATGCCAAAACGCCAGCCTATCCAGTCCCAGCAGGAGAAATGAAGGAGCCGCCGTCGAATCTCCCGCTGGCATGCGGCGTGAAGCTCCAGGCGGCGGCGAATGAAAGGGCGGTAATGGGAACGCCGGCAATGGACAAACGTAATCGGGTGCCTCACGTCATAAGTGCCACGCTCACCAGACCAGCTCACGTCTCAAAGTGGGCGAGGGGATCTACAAATCTCAGGTACGGTGCCCCCAAAAGCAGGCCCGTACATAGATCCCTTTGCCCCCAAAGCGGGTATCATGTAGATTTTGCTAACCTGAATTGCCATGTCCTTTCTGGGAACTGTTTTTAATCCTTGACCACCATCTCATTTGTTCCTTTTTTTTTGTTTGCTTGTGTTTTCGTGCCGCGTGATTTTTCCTGCCTTGTTTTGTGTAGATTTTGGTCGTGATTTTGTTTGTTTGCGTGTATCCTTCCCTTGTTTCAAGTTTACCTTCCCACTATTCTCTGCTACTCTGCCTTGCGTTTTCGCCTGCGGTCTCTAGAACGGTCGGCGACTTCGTCGCAGCACATGTCCCAGTCATCACTCACCAGAATCCAGTGAGTAGCAAAGAACCGATGATGGACCGTGTTTGCACTGATGGACCGATGTTGTTGTTGATGTTGTAGCAGTTGCTCTCAACCTCCGTGTTCCGGACAGCGAGGTTGACCAGAATTCTAAGGAATGTATGGGTTTGATTGCCAGGAGGTGAAATCTTGGCTTCCAGGCTTTCCAAGAGCCACTGTGGCCTTCTCTTTGGCTGTAAAGATGGCGATGCAGCTTCAAGATTTGGAGTTGGCGTTGAGGCGTGAATTGGCAATGCAGCCTTGCAATGCCTTCATGTTTTTAGTCTTTTCATCTCAGCAACATGTCAGGCTCTATGAAGAGACCTGCAACGTTATCAAATTGAGCGTCGTGACCTATAACACCCTGATCGAGGTTTCCGATGGCGTTGGGGTGAATGTTGTGCGTCACAGGTTGCCACCACCTTCTGCCAAGACGCAAACAAATCCATAAAAACAAACTATATATATAATAATTATAAGAACGGTTTTCTTCAAACCAATCCGTTTTCTTCGTGCCAGCTGGCAGGCTCTCGTTCGCAGTGGAGCATTGAATCGCGCGATGAATCTCTTGCATGATATGGCGCAACATGATGTGGGACTGAGTTGTGCCAAGTGAACGACTAATGCGCAATAATTCTGCAGTTCTGGCAGCCCTGGGTCAGTAGCGCATGGTGCAGTCCTTGTGCTCACCTTCACATGCTTGCTTTTGGACAGGACCAGACTTGATCACCTTTTCCATACTGATCAAAGGCGGACCCCTGGTTCTTACTTTTTGTGTGCAAACACTGCTGGTGTGTGTCATTCGCCATATGTCACCGGAAGGATTCGCTGGTGCTGGAGATTTGGAGACTGCGATTCAACTGCTGGGCCAGATGCAGGGCATGGAGATTCAGCCAGACTCCATTCTCTTCAACACTATCCTGCCTTTGACTGAGTTAAAAGCCAGAAGGCAGTGCATCTGAGACTTTTTTGCCCAATTGGATCATGTTGTTGTTCCCTTCGTCTTCCTGAACAACATTGGCTGGAGGTTGGAGAGGTTATTTGCAATAATGCCAAGGAATGGGTGTGTGAAACGCCAAATGCGGGCATTGGCGGAGCAGGCCGGAAATTGAACAAACACTCAATCAATCAGTGGCACTCTGTTTGACAAAAAGCTGGAAAGGACATCCCCAGACATCAAACGACCTTTTGAATGGATGCAAAGGGATATTGAGATGAAGGGAGTTGATCCGAGTTGACTATATGCCCTGCCATGGCCGATTCTTTGCAGGTTTTGGGCGACATGGTGTACCTTGTTCGCTATCGTACCTTTTGTTTGGAGTTCCACCGACCATCCAACGATCTGCTAAATATACGAAGATTCGTTGACGAACTAGTCTGCTCACAGTCTATTTTGTTTGTTTTATTTTTTTAATACAAACATATTGATCCAACGAGGAGAGCTGGCGTAGCTCCTTCAAACTATACCTTGTCGATTCTCATCAAGTTGTATGGTCGTTGTGGTGATCTGGAAGCAGCCTTTGCAATGGTGGAGAGCTATCCCAAACAATTTTGTTTCTGCTTGAATGCGCAGGTCTACACCTGCCTCATGTCCACCTGTATTTGGAGTGGCGATCTTCCCAAAGCTTTCCTAGTTTATGAACAGATGCTGCAAGACGGTTGCGTGGCAGACGGAAAGACCTATGATACCTTGTTGTTTGGATGTGTGAAGCATGGCGATCCAGTAAGAGCATCCCAAGTGGTGGTGGATGCCTTTGACGCCAAGTGGTCTTTGAATCCAAAGACACTGGAAGCAGCAGTGCAACTGGCGTACAGCCGTGGCGAGTTGGAGGCCGTTGAACGAATGACCCAACGTACCCAGCCGAGCCAAAGCTGCCGGCGGCGTGGAGTGAAGAAGCAGCTTGGACGAGAGAGGTATATAAATCATGTTTCCTGTCGAGGTCTGTTTTAGCGGTGTAACTCATTGTAACTCATGTAATACACTATCAATATCTATTAGGTTGGAGGCCATCGCTATCAGAAACAATATCATACAATTGACAATCACAGTTTTTTGTTTGAGAACTGTTGCAACGTCCCATCCTTTTGACATGGATCATTTGTGCACCTGAGGTGATTCGACTTGAGTGCGTAGAGCAAAATTAGTTTTTGCATGCTATTGCTGTTTGGGACAGTTTGCAGTACCGCTTTGACTCAGATCATGCAGATCTCAGATCAGCATTGTTTCTTTCATGTCCGCATGGATCAGCACAATGTGCCTGACTACTTGAATGTACCATGTGATGCTGTTAGTGCTTTGTATGTCTCGCCGCGATTTCTGGCCTTAGTCACTTTGTCCCATTTGTGTACTAGAACGAAACAGGACCCGTACTGTTGTGGCTTGACCTGGATATTGTGCTGCCTACAATTACGCGCGTTCGAGCAATATTTCCCTTCAATATTGTCATTCTTGCTTGAAAGGACAAGGCATGAGACCCGACTGCCTTGGCTTTCATGTGCCTCTATGGCTATTCCTTACGACGCCAAGCTTCACAAAGACATGTCTTGTGGCAAACTTTTGGACGTCAAATCCTCACAAACAAAGGAAGTCAGAGAGTTATTGACATGTTGGACATTGAACACGACGTTCCCTTTCTGCAAGGATCGTGATACTTCCCTTTTGTGATTCTTTGGTGACTGTCAATCGCACTCGGACGGATCACAACCTCACCAAGGCCTGAATTTTCAAGCGTTTCTACATGTTTCTACCTTTGGCCATTCACCTTCTTTTGACAGGCAGCGCCAGACATGCCAGAACCCTTGCCGGCGAGCGCGTCCTTTCCGATGATAGAGGCAGGCTGTCAATCTGCCGACATGAGCTCCTGTCAATTGGCGCCAGGCAGTTTTGCATGCGCAGAGACCGGTCTCAGCAGTCGCAGAGGCGGTGATTGGTTAAAGTAAAGCAACATGCAACAGCAACAACTTGCAGTACACTCGTAGAACAGCAAAGCATTATTGAAGAAGACATTAGGCAGATCTTATGGTTCACAGACGTGTTTGTTCTCCCTGTTTTGAAACCCTTGTTGGATATGGCCATGATTCATGGTGGCTTACAGTAATTGCTATTCTTCCCCTATTTGAGCCCTTCCCTTTGTGTTCCTCTCGCAACAATGCGCCAATCCGATAGTGAGAAGGAACTTGTCCTGGTGTTTACTTCTATCTAATCTAGTCAAAATGTTGTGTCTCTGCACAGGATGTCCACAGAATTACTATATTTGACATGTTCTTACATTCAGTTTCAAGATATTCTGCAAACATTTTTCAGGACAAGTCCAGCCAGCCCGAGCAGCAGGACTTGCCAGGCATAGTGACATGCTTTAATACGGATTGCGGTTATCCCACAGCGGAACGTCAGTGAAGAGCACATGAATATACATAGGGGCGGTCTGGGTGTCTTTGGACATTTGTTAGACTTTACTTGAGCTGGATGAGTGGTGGGCGGGTCTCGTGCATTTCACTTTGGATGTCCCAAGGTCTTCTCTCGCATGTATGGAGGTAATGGGTATTTGACGGATCAACTGTTTTCAGACCATCCTTTGAGGTCCCAATGGGGTAGAGGCTTTCAGCACATCCCATGTGTCCAAGCAAACGATCGTCCTTCCGCACTTGCGCCCACAAGTGCCCACAAGCCTTTTTCCTTGTGAGGCCCACCGCCATTGAGGAAATTGCACTTTCACATGGTGCCACGACTGAATGGATAGAAGTTACATAGAAGCGAGAGTGCTGACATAGAAACTGTTGACACCAAACTTTTGCTGAATGGAGGATGCGGCAACATTCCTTCGATTAGTCAATGGCACATGCCACAAATCAGCACATCAAATGCAACTCATTAACCACGCCATTTTTGTTTGTGTGGGCCAGCCAAGTTTACGCTGATGGTCTGCGGCTTCCTGATCATTGGGGCACAAAGGCATCCACGTTAGCGCGGTAAAAGGGCTCTTTTTTGCAATCGCGGCCGTGCCGTGAATCTGGACTGAATATGTGCAGGCTTGCATACAGACAGTCCCAGTCGGATGCAAGTCCTGGAGACCCCTTGGCATACGTGTCCTGGCACTAACTCCTGTCAGCTTGATGATAAACGATTAGGGCTGGTGTGAGCCATGTTTATTTCTTTTTTCCGTTTGGTGGTCAAAGTGCAGTCTTGCACTCTTTTTCCAGACTGGTGTGAAGCGGGCACTGAGTCTGAGGTGTTCAAAGCACGACAGCTACAGCAAAGTGAGGGCATCCGAGGTCGCTTGTGACAGACGTCGTAGCTCCAGTACTTCTAGGCTGCTAATAACGGAACCCATAGATTCTTTCCAGCCAGGCAGCTAGGACTAATATCCCGAGACGGCACACTTGTCTCTGAGACAGAGACAGCATATAGCATAAGGCATTGATGTTTGTACATAGTCAATTTTAATGCACAGACGGCAAGCTGAGGTTCAGACAGCATACGGAGTCTTGAAGTAATTTGGGTCGCCTTCCGCAATAGATGTGCTGAGGACCTTTAAAATCGGCACAAAAGTGCACTGGAGTAAGATCATCCTATGGAAGATATTGTAAAGAAGCAATGAAAAAGGAGAGCGACAGAAGAAGCAAGAAAGCTAAGGAATACATGGCTGATTTAATATGTCCGGGTCGGTCTAATTTTGGGTTGCTAGGGGTTGAAACCTGTTGCCGATGAATGCTTTTGGCTGCAACCCAGCATCACACATGTTCCATTTGTATAAATGTACATCGTTTCATGTCTTCTTATTTGCATTGCTTTGGTACCACATCGGGTATGTATGCAAGCAAGGTTTGCTTGCTTAGTCGATTGATATAGTTACTTTAGCTTCGGGCTCTTGCTAGTCCAAAATTTGGACGATACCGAAAAACGATACCTGCCTTAAAATTCCCCACCAAATGACCCCTAGTTTTGTTGGTCGCTCAAATGCTTTTACAAGACTGATGATGGGTGACTGGCCATGGCTGAGTGCTGCGAGTAGCTAGTCAGCGGCTTAACTGTTCCTTCCATTTTAGTGCACTATTCACTGCACGTCCGAGATTGTTCAACCACGTTTTGGTTGAACTCCTCGGCTTTGAGGCTCTTGGAGTGTGGGTTCTACCTTGGTTCTTTGTGTTGTTGCAGCGCCTTACTGATCTGATTGAGAGCAGCAGTGTGGATTTTGGGAAAACGAAGGCTTCAGCATCCATTCGAACCTGGTGGAATGGAGGCTCAGAGTTCCAAAACTCCTGACCAGCCTGTTGCATCATTGTTTGGCCAGTCCGTGATGGTATCTCATTGTGCTGTTGCTTCAAGAGTCTTACCGTAGTTTGCCTCTTGCCTAGAGCTGAAAGAACACGCATGGCCGCATGACCGGCTATGGTACGCGGTTGAGAGGCTTGTGGCAACATGCTATATATAGTGAAAAGAGATAGGAAGAAGAAGGGCCTTGGGCCTCTTTACGAAGGTAGTTGCCTAAAAGAGGGAGCCTTATTGAAGAGAAGATGCCGCCTTTACCCTATTGTTTTTTCTATTTGCACGGAGAGCGTGGTGCAGAGTTGTCATTTCCGACTGACAGGAGACGTCGCCACCGCTCTCGACGTCCCGCCCACGAGAGAGGATGCACTCACGCGGGAGCAAACGCTCAAGACGGAGCTCATTGAGGCCGTTTGCTTGGAAAAACAATAACATCCAAGGCAATGTACATAGGGAGGCCATAGAAAGTTGAGTTTGCATACAATTGGAAGTGCATCTCTTGAGTGAGTTTGAGTATTCTGAGAGCCCGCAGGCAGTTGGGAAATCTGGTCTTCGGGGAAAGCAGAGGAGGGCTTTGGTCTGGCAGAAATTCGCAAGCATCTGTGAGGGCCCTAGGGCCGTAGAGGTTGAGCAGAAAAGAGTTAAGTTCTAAAAATCGAGGAACCAAATCATTCGCGTGAGCTAAGTAGTAGCGTCCTGTCGGTAGTAGCTACTTAAGCTGCTAGCGACTCCCTCGCTAACCTACCTCAGCGGCCTACCCCCCCGATCGAATCAAGTCGGATGATGTGACCAAAGTCGCCCCGAAGGGGCTGAAGGGCTGACCTGCCATGGTTCTGGTCCAAGTGGTGAACTGAGGTATTGCTGGTGACCTTTATATAACCTGGCTTGCTTCTTTTACTGACTTCTTAGTTTGCTTTTACCATTCATCCCAATGCTGGCACGCACTGCTGCTTCATCTATTTTCATCTCCTGTTGCTGCTAAACACCTGCTGTGGCCCCGATGTCACCACGTAAACTTCCCGCACACTTTCTTCCGTCAGGCCGGATCGAGCCAATTGACAACTGCTGGGTCTTTGGTGCCTTGGCCAATATTCAAGATGTGGGGACACAGCTGCTGCGCAGGGCTGGCCCGAAGCGTTTCGGAGCTTGGAGCACAGTTCACGGGTTTGTCACCTGGGTTCTGATAGACCATGATAGACTTGTGTACCTTTGTACCATATACATATGGGGGTTGATCTAAAGGTCCCTGATGGTCCCTGTGAGGGGCAAGATAACCTTTCAGATCTGCCTGAACCCTCCGCAAAATTTGCGATGAGCTTCGCGAAAGTAGCTCTTCGCGAAAGATCTATCGAAGGTCTTCTTCATTCTCATATTATCTCCTTTCTCCGGCACAGCAGGTGGGTGGAAGTTCCCCACTGTCACAGGCTAACGGCCCTGGCCGTGCGACAACGATCCGCAGCCCTGACAGGTTGTCCAGATAGAGGTTCGTGCATGATATGTATTCTCGGGGCAATTTCAACTTTGTGAAACATCCGCGAAAGTTCTGCAGCTCCGCGAATGTACATTATATAACTAACGGCTGCATTCTCCATCAACTCGCACGATGACACAATCCGGGCGACCATGTTCGGACTGCCAACCTTGAACGCTTCACCTTTTTGTTCTGCAAGTCAAGGTCTAGCTTTCAGTAACGTAAAGTGCTAGCTTGACATGGAAGTCTTTACTGATACAGCTCTTGCGAGCATGGATCTAAGTGTGTGAGATTTTGAACGTGTTCAATGGCGACGTCCGCCTATTTTGTTTTGGCCAATGCCAAACGCCCACACTTCCGGCCTTCAACTGGTCCATGTGCCCAGATCTTGCGGGAATCAAGTACCGGCGATCTGCAAGAGACTGAGAAGGTTGGATGGGCGCTTGGGAGGCTTCGTTTCGTTGTGATATGATATGGGATTGAATTTCTTTGTAAAGACTTTCTGGGTGTGGCAAAACGCATGTGTCCACAATTGCAGCGCAATACTGTTGCCGCCATATATATCCTTCCTTTGAATGCGTTTCGAGCGGCCCTATTGCTTGAATAGGTAGTCCATGTAGGTTCCAGTGAAAAGGGTTTCTTGGTTTGGCTCTTCAGCGCAGGCGCATTGCATCATGGCTAGATACTACAAAGTGCCTCCACACATCCTGAAGAGAGGCTTTTCAAGGCTGGCTCTCGGGGGTTAAAGTGTCGGGGGACATGCTTAAACCATTGCGGGTGCATGCTGGCACGCATCACTACATGAAAACCATCCTTTGTTTAACATATTTCATTGCATTTGCTTGCATGACATGTCTAAACATTTTCCAAATACAGGGGTGTTCTGTTCTTTAATTATATGTTTTTACTGTGCCTTTTTTTTCAGTGAAACATGTGGCGTGACCAAGTCAGAACTCTGGAAAGGATACAGTTCCTGTGGCAACGTTTTTAGTCCTGGCACATCTCGCAGCAAAGCAACAAACCAGCAATGCATTGGAACAAACTGTCCTGCAGTGTGCAGTGTACCTGGTAAGCGCCACCACATGTATCCTTGGTCCTTCTTGCAAGGATCTTTTTTGCTGATGGATGGACGTGATCAAATCTTCATGCATGAAACACCACGTCGTCCTCGGTTTTTTTTTCTGCGACAACCTTGCTCCACCACATGGGTGATCAAATGGAGCTTATTAGGCCGAGGGTTACACAAGCGGTCGCAACAAAAAGTTCGAGACCTTTCAATCTCAAATATGTCGTCAGGAACCAATTCTACTAGGAACAAGTGCATCGCTTCTAGTAACAAGTGCCTTACTAGTAGTAACAAGAAGCTAGTAGACAGCTGCTTTACTTGGTGAACTCGGTGAACATCACGTCACTGCGCGCAATCAATCCAATGTTGCCTAACAAAACAGCATCCAGTTGCGGGAGGTCATGGGTTTGCAAAAATCAATCAAGGATATCAAGATACTCCACGATCCCAGTTGCTTTATCTGTGAAGTGCACGTGCTTATTGTTCTTCAATCAGAGTTTGGTGAGTTTGCTATGGGTTTGGCAATTTTCTGGTTCCATGGTTCTTAGCCCAAGTCTTGATGAACAATGATGCTTATCTCATTGTGGCATCCACCTGGTCCTGGCAACATCTACCTAACTTTCACATCATTCCAAAAACTATTCAAACATGACAGGCTGACATTGAAAGATGCCCTGTGTTCTCAGCATCACGATTATAATGATCTAGAGAGCTCGTGATCCAGTGGTTTCGGACTTCAGCAAAGCTTCAACATCAGCAACCAGTCTGCAAGCAGCATAAGTGAGTCACACCTGAGTCCCAACCATTCGATGAGGCAGAACCGCAGGCCAATTGCGGATTTCTACGCGATGTTACAATATCAGGAAAAGCCAAGTCCTTAACGCAGTCCATTCCGCCACAAGGCAAATCTGAGCCTCCACGCAGCACACGACACTGACGCCGAGACCCGGGAAAACATCCAAGTCATTGAGTCATAGATATGGCCAAGACGTGCAGCTGAAGCCAGACTAGTTGAGCCTTGGCGTACTTCCGCCGCCAGCCTGCAGGAAACCAACACCAAGAATTTGGTCCATAGAAACTGATTGGTCCGCCGCCTTTCATCCAGAGCTTGTCTCAAAGCCACCGCTCCTGGGTTCGTAGCTGGCCAGCAGAAAGAAGCAGCCTACACCTGTTCAAGAAAGACAAGCAGATTTCAAAGGGACACAAAAAACGTCAACGCAGCTGAGCAAGAACAATGTTTCGCTGCTTTCTGCGTGTCATGTGCTTGTGCATGAACCTGTCTTCATGGGCACTTGGCTTGTAGCCCCCCAAACCGATCATCCCGCGACCACCACTTGGGTTCCAGGTACAGGTACAAGGCTCGCCTGTGCCATGACATTGGCCACATCCACTGCAACAGTAGCTTTCACAGAAGTCAAACCTATGGACAAAGGTTGAACCGCTGAGGCAGGAGCAAGATTGGCGCTGACAGAACAAGAAT